AACACAGGGTTTTTCACATGCTAAGCAAGTGCTTTTATACTGATACCCATCTCTTCTAGAGATAACTTGATTTCAGTTTGGTAGCTATCTAAGAGTAAAGTCAAGATTACATCCATAAAAGTCAACAAGAGGTACTAGTTCTTGATAATACTGAAATCACATAACCCAGAGTTGGTGATAGCCTGCTTTATTGGAACCATATCCTTAGTAACTACAGAAATGATATATGTATTATGTAGAAGTAGTTTAAAATCCTGCAAATCTTACAGAAATGATTTAAACAAATCATTTAGTGCAAGTCATACCTAGTCAAGGGACTCAGAATATTTCTACTATCAAAAACAAGAATCTCAAAGCTGTTTGCTCCTGTTTCTGTTAAAAAAAATAAAAAAAAAACAGGGCTGGGAAGGTGGCTCAGTGGTAGAGTGCTTGCCTTGCATGCCTGAGGCCCTGGGTTCGATTCCTCAGCACTACATAAGCAAAAAGAAAAAAACCGGAAGTGGCGCTGTGGCTCAAGTGGTAGAACGCTAGCCTTGAGCTGAAGAGCTGAGGGACAGCGTCCAGGCCCAGAGTTCAGGCCCATGACCGGACCAAAAAAAAAAACATACCTGAGAATTGTATTGTTTAATTTCTTTGAAGCTTGTCTGAAAATGTCTTTAAATTTTTACAAGAAGTACAAAAATAAGTCTTAAAAAGATTGACTAGGGGCTGGGAAGGTGGCTCAGTGGTAGAGTGTTTGCCTTGCATGCATGAGGCCCTGGGTTCGATTCCTCAGCACCACATAAGCAGAAAAAAAAAGCTGGAAGTGGCACTGTGGCTCAAGTGGTAGAGCGCTAGCCTTGAGCTGAAGAGTTGAGGGACAGCGCCTAGGCCCAGAGTTCAGACCCCACGACCGGACACCAAAAAAAGATTGACTAGGGTCTGGGAAGGTGGCTTAGTGGTACAGTGCTTGCCTTGCATGCATGAGGCCCTGGGTTCGATTCCTCAGCAGTACCACATAAGCAGAAAAAAGCTGGAAGTGGCGCTGTGGCTCAAGTGGTAGAGCACTAGCCTTGAGCTGAAGAGCTGAAGGACAGGGCCCAGGCCCAGAGTTCAGGCCCATGACTGACAAAACAAAACAAAAAAGATTGACTAATAATTGCTGTATTAGTTGAGGTTTTAATCTTATTTATTATAATGCTTGGGGTCAGATCCAAGTTCTTGAGCATATTATGTAGGTGTTTCTTAGATTATTTTTAACCAAAGAGTACCCTAGCTGGAGATAAATTTTATATTAAAACATTTTTTTAGAACTTTCTATGTAAAACAAGTTTAGTCGTGTGTGTGAGAGAGAGAGAGAGAGAGAGAGAGAGAATGAGTGTGTGTGTGCCAGTGTGTCAGTATCTTTCCTGGCTGGACTTGAACTCAGGGCCTGAGCGCTGTCCCCGAGCTGGGTATGCGTGTGGGGGAGGGGGTTGTAGGGCTTGAACTCTGGGCCTGGGCACTGTTCCTGAGCTCTTTAGCTCAAGGCTAGTGCTCTACCACTTGAGCCACAGCGCCACTTACGGTTTTCTGGTGGTTAATTGGAGATGAGTCCCTACGGACTTTCCTGCCTTGCCTGTTGCCTGTCTTTGAACTGTGATCCTCAGATCTCCACCTCCTGAATTTGCTTCTGTTTTTTAAAATGATATTTAGTTTTATTTTTGATGGTGGTTGTTTTTAGGAACCTATGTTGTAGAAGCTTCTATTTTTCTGTCTTCATTTGTGCTACACTCTTTCTAGTGCTGAACAGTTAGGAATTTTACCGTGAGATTCACAAGTTTCTTTTAAAGTAGATACAAATTTTACTAATTCTCAGTAAGTGAGGGAGTTGTCAAAATAACCTACCTGGGGGCATCCTAGGTTCCTCCCTTAGTCTGAACACTGTGATACTAATTGGTTATTTTGTGCTGTAGGCCATTTTATTATTGTTGTTACAGTTATGTAGTTCTACAAAGAGATTGCAATTCCATGTCAGCTTGTGGGTAACGCTTCTTGACTGGTGGTATCCTTTCCATCCTTACCCTCAAGTTATGTAGTTCAACTTTTAAATAATTTACATTGAATATAATGACTGCATTTCACACCTTTCCTTCATTCCTGGGCTCCTCTTTGTTCTCTCCAAATATGTTTTTACTTCCTGGTATTCATTTTGATAAACAGTACATTAATTGTGCAGAGGAATTACACCTTTGGACTTTTCCTCTATCAGTATACCATTGTGTTTTCTATTTTATGGACGTTTGTTTGGCAGTATTCTGAGCATAAATAATTTGTAAATGGATATAATAAAATAGAACGGTATTTTGAGAGATCCCTATGTTGTCACTTCGTAGTACCATCTGGTTATCTATTCCTTGATATAAGTTGGAGTTGGAAAACTATAGCCCATGGGCTGAACCTGTTTTTGAATATAAAATGGCTGTGCACATATAGTCACATATTTGCTTTTGTGATGTAGTATTGCTTACATAGCTAAACATTGTGACCGACTTCTAAACAGGTAGCAGGATCTATACAAGAATAAATACAGTTTAAAACTATTCGTCAATCTCAATGATCTTATACTTTAAATAATTTTAGCTTGTGTCAATATGAGCATTGTTGGATTTAAGTCAGTTTTGTGAGCTCTTATTTTCTGAGATGGTTAAAATACTGTTAATTTTTTTGTGACCTGGTAGGAAAGCTTTTCTACTAAATTTCCCCCCCCTCCTATGGGCCAGTCCTAGGGCTAGAACTCTTGGGTTTAGATGCTATCCCCAAGCCTCTTTGTGCTTAAGGCTAGCACTCTACTATTTGAGCCACAGTATGACTTCCTAAGAGTCTCAAAGACTTTCCTGCCTATGCTGGTTTTGAGCAGGTCTCAGCCTCTTGAGTAGCTAGGATTATAGGCGTGAGCCACCACTGCCCCAGCCTGCTAAATTCTTTTACTTCATTGAAGGTGTTAGTAAGGTAATGATAAATGTATGAGTAGGTTTAAGTAAATATAAATTACTGTTCAGTTCCTAGATAATTGTAGTCATCGTTGTAGGACCATTAGACCGATCAATTTCTGATGATAATTTTTTTTTATAATTTATTAGGAATAGGAACATTATTTTAAAAAGACTTGCCCCCTAAACTTACTTTGACAGCACTAGGTTTTGAACTTAGGGCCCCTCACTTGCCAATGATTGCTCCCATTGAGTGGACCACCACTTTATGGGTAGAACTCTTATTTTAACTGTGGTACTCTACTACTTTATGCCTTCATCCTAGCCTTTTATTGATTAAACTGTGATCCTCCTTGTTTAGCCTTCAGAATAGTCATATGAGCTACACTACCCCCCCCCCAGCTGAGTAGTTGTTTTAAATATTGTTGTTCACCTAGTTGTCTAACTTTGGGATAGATAACTCTTCAACATAATTTTTTAAAACTGAAAATAAGAACAGAAAAAGACATGAATGACATAATTTATACATACTTCTCAATGTGCTCTTAAATGAAAGCAATACTATAACTTAACAGAGGTTAGGCTTGATGCTGAGGCTCACCCAGTGGTTCACACCTGTTATCCCAGCTATCCAGGAGGATTAGGTATGAGAATTATTGTTCAAAGCTACCTCAAGGAACTTCTACAAAAACTTCCAATTAGCAAAAAAACAAGCAGGGGTGTGGCTCATGTGTTAAAGTTCCAGTCATGAGCAAAAAAGCTAAGCTAGAGCACAAGGTCTTAAATTCAAGTTCCAGTCACAAAGTATTTTTTTTTAATGATGCTGTATAAACCATGAGACCTCTTGTGGTGTATGCTAAGTGCATAAAATATTTCAACTGAATGATTCCCCTAGTTAAGAACTTTTTTAAAAGTAAATGTCTTTGGAATTAAGTTTAGTACTATATTCTCATATTCTGAAGATGAATTTCTGTTGTGAACTATCCTGTTTCCTTTTGTTATTATATCATAATACCAGCCTTTATATATATTAAAACATGCTTCTATGTATAGCATATAGCCATTGCTTGAGGCTAAAATTGTGTTTTCACAATTTCTTTGATTTTAGCCTCAAGGTATGAAGAAATTGTGTTTTCACAATTTCTTCATACCTTTCAAACTAGCATCCAGTAAATGGTGGCATAAAACTTTTATTTATTGTAAATATAATGTAGTGAATGAGGGGAATCTTTCAAATGTGTTTGGGACTTTTTGCAATAATTTTGTAAGTATGTTGGATTTGTTCTGTTAATTAGCATTTTTAATTCTAAGCGAATTAGCTATTTTTCATAAAGGTTTATTAGTACTTCTGATGTTCTGTGTAAAATCATTTTGATAATTGGTTCATCTGCCTTTTGCATTTTATGTATTGACCTGGATTTTAATGTACAAATTGGAAACTATTGTGATGTGAATCATGAATTACCTTTTCTATAAGCTTAATTGCAATTACAATCTCACTGCCTATTTAAAATACTGTAATTGTAAGTTTAAATGATAAATAAAAATTGCACAAATATGTGGAGTATTTGATGTTTTGATATATGTACACATTGTGTAATGTTTAAATCTGGTTAACACACCAGATTTCCTTATGGGAAACTCAAAATTGGTAGGATTTTAGAATATACAATAAACTATAATCTAGTTATCCCACTGTGCAGTAGCACACTGTCTATTTAAAAGTATCTATAGATTATTTTTTATAAAGATGTATGGTATTTTAATGTTTGGGAAATTCATTATTCCTTAAGTAAACATAATTTCATGCAATTAGGACAACTGTTAAGAAATCTTTACCATTGTCTATAGAGGGAATTGCTGTTTTTTAGAGCTGATATATTTTGTAGATTGTTTGATAGAATAATAATTTTATGAGTACTTAGAGGAAGAGTAGGCTAGTAATGACAAATTGAGAGCACTTTTTAAAATGTAAAATTATTTCATTTTCAGTATTTTATTTGCATCTCAGTGTCCTGATAGATTTCTGTTTTGATTTTCTGCTGACAGGTCACATTTAGGGCAGGCAAAACATAAGGGATATAGCCCTCCTGAGAGTAGAAAATCTAATTCTAAGGCACCCAAAGTGCAGTCTAATACTACTTCTGAACTGTCAAGGGGACACCTTTCTAAAAGGTAAATTTTCACATTGCTTATACATTTTCAAGGCAGACTTAGTTACATCCAATCATTGCTTAATATTAAAGCTTTCAAGGTTATCTTAGTGCTACATTTTCATTTTCCGAAGTGTACTTTTTATGATTAATACTTTTATCATTTTTTTCAGTGATAATCAGTGCAACATGTCCTAGACAATGTATGTTTACTTGAGGTTCTCTATACTTAAAAACTATTACAGGCATCTAAAAATGCTGTCCTTTAGTTTTTATTTTCAGAGCCATGGTTCAGAGCAATGGTTCTTAAGTTCCGATTGGTATGTGTTTTTAAAAAGGAATATTACTGTGAAGATTTCATAGTGTTTACAAGATAGATTCTAAGATGATCTTTTGGGAAGTGTATTTGTTAATGTTTATTTCCTAGCTTTGGCAAAGCAATTGTCTTTGTGAATAGAGCAGCAATATTCTAGGATTGTTGTTGTTGTTGTTGTTGGTTGGTTGGTTGGTTGTAGGGTTGGAACTTTGGCTTGAGCTCCATTGCTCAAGGCTAGCGCTCTATCACTTTGACCAGCTCCTCTATCACTTTGACCAGCTCCGCTTCCGGTTTTCTGGTGGTTAATTGGAGATAAGAATCAAAGACTCAGTGTCACGGACTTTCCTCCCCAGGTTGGCTTTGAACCACAGTCCTCAGATCTCAGCCTCCTAAGCAGGCTAGGATTACAGGTGTGAGCTACCAGCACCTGGCTCTATAGTTTCCACTGGTCTGAACCACTAATAATTCCTTGTAATTTTAATTATTAAAATTTATGATTATAAGTGTTAGTGTTAGTAATTTTGGGGCAACAGAGTACCCTTGGATTCCAATCAAATATTTACTGCTCAAAACACTTTTCCTTTGAAATTTAATCCATTTAGAATTTCTGTTTGGTTTCGTGGGTTTTTTTGTTTGTTTGTTTGTGTTTTGGGTGGTGGTCAGGTTTGAACCCAGCCTCATACTAGGCACTCTCTTGCCACATGAACCACACCCCAGTTTTTTAAATAATAGACTTACTGGAAATATGCCCCTCTCCTTCCCTTTTTTAAAGTACCTATTCCCAGGCATTTAAGAAATGAGTATTACGTGACATTAACTCAATGACAGGCTGCTGCTAACTCTTTTCTTATCTAACCTCTTAGAAGCTGCAGTTCATCATCTGCTGTCATAGTTCCACAACCAGAGGATCCAGACAGAGCCAATACTTCAGGAAGGCAAAAAACGGGGCAGGTGCCTAAGAAAGACAATTCTCGAGGAGTGAAACGCAGTGCTAGTCCAGACTACAACAGGACCAATTCTCCTAGCTCTGCGAAAAAACCCAAAGCACTTCAGCATATTGAGTCTCCCTCAGAAACAAATAAGCCACATAGTAAGTCAAAGAAGAGACATTTAGACCAGGAACAACAACTGAAATCTGCACAATCACCATCAACAAGCAAGGCTCACACCAGAAAGAGTGGGGCCGCTGGTAGTTCACGGAGTCAGAAAAGAAAGAGGACAGAGAGTTCTTGTCTAAAGAGTGGCTCTGGGTTCGAATCAACTGGTGCCGAAGAGAGATCTGCAAAACCTACCAAGCTGGCTTCAAAATCTGCCACCTCAGCCAAAGCTGGGTGTAGCACCATCACTGATTCTTCCTCTGCTGCCTCAACTTCCTCATCATCTTCTGCTGTAGCCTCAGCCTCTTCCACCATACCTCCAGGTGCCAGGGTGAAGCAAGGAAAAGACCAGAGCAAGGCCAGACGTTCCCGTTCAGCATCCAGTCCTAGTCCCAGAAGAAGTAGCAGGGAAAAGGAACAGAGTAAAACTGGTGGCTCTTCAAAATTTGATTGGGCTGCTCGTTTCAGCCCTAAAGTTAGCCTTCCTAAAACAAAACTGTCTCTTCCAGGGTCTTCTAAGTCAGAGACATCAAAACCTGGACCTTCTGGATTACAGGCCAAGTTAGCAAGTAAGTTTCTCAAATGACCTTTTTCTTGAAAGAAAATCTTTGTTGTTCAGATTGGTGCTTTCTAGTTTTGTTTTTTTATCTGAGCCAGTTAGAGATTCATTACTGTATCTGTGTGTAACAATAACAGAATAGACTCTGTATTTAGGTTTTGGTAGGGTTTTGTGGGGGTGGGGGTGGGGGGATGGTTATAGGGCATAAACTTGGGCTTGTGTGCTGTCCCTCTTTTGCTCAAGACTAGGGAACTATCACTTTGAGCCACAGCTCTACTTCCCATTTTTGAGTAATTAATTGGAGATAAGAGTCTTAAAGGGACTTTTCTGCTGAGCCTGGCTTCAAACTGAGATCTTAGAACTTAGCCTCAGGGCCCAGCAAATATTTTCCTTTGTGGGGGTCAGTTATGGGGTTTGAATGCAGGGCCTAGCCCCAACTCTTTCACTCAGTGTTAGCACTCTATTTCTTTGACCCACAGCCCCACTCTGTATTTAGTTGTATGGAGAGACATAAGGGATTGTGTGTGCGCGTGCGTGCATGCGTGCGTGTGTGCGTGTTGTGTGTGTGTGTGTGTGTGTGTTGGTCCTAGGGCTTGAACTCAAGGGATTGTGTGTGTGTGTGTTGCGCTGGTCCTAGGGTTTGAACTCAGGTCATGGACTGTTCCAAGCTTTTGTTCTCAAGGCTAGTACTCTACCCACTACTACTTCGAGCCACAGTGTCATTTTTGGCTTTTAGTAGTGAGCTGGGGTTAAGAGTCTCAAGGGCTTTCCTGCCTGATCACAGATCAGATCACAGCTTCAAGAATAGGATTAGCACTGACACTCAGCTTTTTTTTTTAATTGAAAAAAATCCAAAAAGAAATAAAATATTTTGAAAAAGCATTTAGCTTTTAAAAAATTAATAAGCATTTACTATTTAATCATGAAAGTTTTTTGTTTGCCAACCCCTTCTCTTCCCTTCCCATGAATGGTTTAAAGCTGGCCTCAAATTATTGATTTTCATGCTTCAGCCTCCTCAGTGGTGAGATTACAGACTTGTACCACCATGCCTGGCTCAATAAATTTTTGATCATAATTATCCCTTTTGAGTCCTCTTACAAGATAATAGTTTTACAGATGTACATTTTGATGAGAATAGAACATTTTCTTGTTAATGGAAAATTTTACATAGTGTCTACTAGTATTCTAATTTAGTTAATAATGAATCAGCCTAACTTAATAATGAATCAAAATGGCTAGCTCTGTTTAGCATACTTAGTAGTATAATTACTTTTGTTGGTTAAGTATTATTAAGCCCTAACAGAAATATTGAAAAGTAATATTAAATATCTGTGGGGGGCTGGGAAGGTGGCTCAGTGGTAGAGCACTTGCCTTGCAGGACTGAGGCCCTTGGTTCGATTCCCCAGCACCACATAAGCAAAAAGAAAAAAGCCGGAAGTGGTGCTATGGCTCAAGTGGTAGAGTGCTAGCCTTGAACTGAAGAGCTGAGAGATAGCGCCCAGGCCCAGAGTTCAAGCCCCATGGCCGACCAAAAAAAAAAAAATATCTGTGGGGTTTGTGTGAGCTTGGGTTTTCTGGTGGTCCTAGGGTTTGAACTCAGGACCTGGTACTTGCTGGATAGTAGTAGCTCAATCACTGAGCAATAGGCACTTTCCTATATTATATTAAATGTGTATCATAAGGTGATTGTGAATGTATACATCTTTTAGCTTGTAGAACTTTGTTCTATTTGGTACATTAAACAAGAACTACTCCTCTAAAGTCTTAAGTCTGAGAGTATATATAGGTGATGAATTTTCTTTCTTTTTTTTGGGGGGGAGGGTTCGGTCGTGGGGCCTGCACTCTGGGCCTGGGCACTGTCCCTCAGCTCTTCAGCTCAAGGCTAGCGTTCTACCACTTGAGCCACAGCGCCACTTCCGGCTTTTTTCTTTTTGCTTATGTGGTGCTGAGGAATCGAACCCAGGGCCTCAGGCATGTAAGGCAAGTGCTCTACCACTGAGCCACCTTCCCAGTCCCAGGTAATGAATTTTCTTGATTCGTATATTGACATGAAAAGGAAATGGACCAGGTTAAAAAAGGACTATAAGCTATATGTTAGTGGCTCAGGCCTGTAATCTTTATCTGCTGAGGATGAGATCCACAGGATCATAGTTTGAAGCTAACTAGGGAGAAAAGTCAGACCCCATCTCCAAAATAGTAAAAAGCAGGTCTGGAGGTATGGTTTAAGTTCTAGAGTGCTAGCTGAGCCAAGGGGAAGACTCCTGAGTTTAACAGGTTCTGTGGGGGTAGAGGAAGAAGCAGACCCTGTTGTCTTTTTATCCTGCCAAGGTTTCTTGACAATTGGAACTGCTTGTACCAGCTCTTGCACCTTCTCCTCCTCCCCACCTTTTTTCTTTTCTTTTTTTTTTTTTTGGCAAGTCCTGGGGCTTAAACTCAGGACCTGGGTCCTGTTCCTGAGCTTTTTGCTCAAGGCTAGCACTCTACCACTTGAGTCACAATGCTACTTCCAGCCTTTTCTATTTATATGGTACTGAGGAATTCAACCCAGGTAGAGTGTTTACCACCTAGTCCCTTCCTGTTTGTTTTTTTTTTGTTGTTGTTGTTGTTGTTGGTCTTGGTGCTTGAACTCTGGGCCTGGGTGCTGTCCTTGAGCTTTTTTGCTCAAGGCTAGCGCACTGTACCACTTGAGCCACAGTGCCACTTCCGGTTTTCTGGTGGTTTATTGGAGATGAGTCCCATAGACTTTCCTGCCCAGGCTGGCTTTTGAACCATGATCCTCAGATCTCAGCCTCCTGAGTAGCTAGGATTATAGGTGTGAGCCACCGGTATCCGGCTTCTTTTTTTTTTTTTTTGCCAGTCCTGGGGCTTGAACTCAGGGCCAGGGTACTGTTCCTGAGCTTCTTTTGCTCAAAGCTAGCACTCTACCACTTGAGCCACAGCCCCATTTCCAGCTTTTTTTGTGTATGTGGTACTGAGGAATCGAATGCAGGGCTTAATACATGCTAGGCAAGCACTCTGGCACAAAACCACATTCCTAGCCCTCCTTTTTTTTTTTTTTAAAGTGAAGTAAAAACATATGTATTTCCATGTGAGTGTGCCCACTTACTAGCTATGTAATCTGTTAGTGCATTGGAGTGAGTACATTAAATTCTTGGAATTCATTCCCTCACTAGAACAGCTTTCTGTCTGTTACCACAGCAGATAACAGATAAAGTATTTGATGTCATGACTTGACTATTCTCAGAGATCAGCTATTTACATAAACTGGCTTTTAAAAGTAAAATTCCTTTCCAATGGCTAATTGATGGGATTTCCTTGGTAGGGAGTGACTACCAGCGTTGTACCAATGTTACAGAACCATGAACAAAGCAGTCCATATAATTCTATTAAATGTGCTCTACATCTAGTCACAAAATGGATTGATTGGATATGTATTTCTTGAATGACCCACTTTCAAGATTCAGATATGCTAATCAATTGGCAATAAGATTCTTCAGGTAAAGATTGGTTAGTAGAAGAAGAGTGCTATAGTAAAGGAAATTATTCTCTGGTTTAATATTCAGGGAGATACAAGGTGTGTGTTAGTATACAGAAAGCTCTCGGGAGGTATACAGTAACTTTTGCTTAATCTAGTGCATTAATTTATTTGGCCAACTGTTAAAAGTAGTGTCCCATAGGCTAGTGGCCTGCTTTGGAAAGTGATATGACATGTTTAGTCAGGACACTTAAGCAGAAAGACCTTTTCTAGTTTGCTGCTTCAGCAGCTGTCCACAGCCAGTGAACAGGTTCCTCATGAGGAAGTAGTGTGGTAAGAGAGTGAGTGAAATAACTACTTTAATGATAGACTTCCTGTAGGATTGTTGTTACCAACTGCAAGTCATCAAAAAGATTCCAACAGAAGTCTTTGTGTCATTTCGTCTTGAAAGGAGAGTGTTACGTGATAATTTGTCTAATGTACATTAGGTAATTATTACAGACAGTACCAATGTGTTGTTTAACTTAGTAACAGACTTTTTTTCCCCTAATATATTTGGTATAAATTTAAAACTATGAATGTAACATTATGACTGGGAAGGTTTCTGGGCACTGTCTCTTGAGCTTTTTATTTTTAATATTTATTTATTTATTTTTGTTGGTCTGCGGGCCTTGGGTGCTGTCCCTGCACTGTTCAGCTCAAGGCAAGCGCTCTACAGCTTGAGCCACAGCGCCACTTCCGGTTTTCTAGTGGTTTATTGGAGATAAGAGTCTCACAGACTTTCCTGCCCGGGCTGGCTTTGAACTGAGGTCCTCAGATCTCAGCCTCTGGAGTAGCTAGGATTACAGGCTTGAGCCAATGGTGCTTGGCTTCTTGCACTTCATGCTAGCAATCTACTACCTGAGCCACAGCTCCACTTCGGCTTTTTCTTTTGTGGTTGTTACTTTATTGAAGCTGAGTATTAGGGACTTTTCTGTCTGGAATGGCTTCAAACTGTGATCTTCAGATCTCAGCCTCCTGAGTTGCTAGGTTTGTAGGCATGAGTCACCAACACCCAGCTTAAAGGTAATTTTTTTTTGGGGGGGGTCATCGGACTTGAACTCTGGGTGTGGGTGTTGTCCCTGAGCCATAGCACCACTTCAGTTTTCTGTTGGTTAATTGGAGATAATAATGTCATGGACTTTCCTTCCCCGGGTAGCTTTGAACCATGATCCTCAGATCTTAGCCTCCTGAGTAGCTAGGATTATAGGTGTGAGCCACTGGCTCCCTGCTGAAGGTAAACTTTTAAAAGAAATTGTAGTAGTTTTAGTGTTGAATACCGGATGATAACATATAGAAAAAATATTTTTTGATCAAAACCTGAGTAATTAGAATTATTTGTAGAACTATCTAAAGATATTGCATTTCTAGTTTGTGTCCATTTTAGCTCTAAATTTATTCTCATCATTTAAAGTGGACATCATGAGCATTAATGACACAGCAGTAGTAGTTACCATCTTATTTTCATCTTGAGTTTCACATGCCTGGTGATTTGC